AAATGTATTGTCAAAGACTGTATTAAAAGGAAAAAAAGAAAATGCATATTTGTACAGCTAATAAGTAGAATAAAACAAAGGAACAAATGAGATAAAGTGACAAGTAAAAGGTTGAGGGTCTTTTTAATGTAATAATTATAATGATATAATTGGGTAGGGGCAATGGCTTAGTGGTTAAAAATGCTGAACTTCTGAGCTGGAAAGCTGGCAGCCCAGATTCGAGACCCAAGTGCCACATGATGGGGTGAGCTCCTATCCTTTCCCCAGCTCCTGCCAACTTAGCAATTCAAAAGCATGCTAATTAAGTACTAACTACATGATTACAGAAGTGTCAACGGACAACACTGGTTCCTTCACCTAAGAAATGGAAATGAGCACCACCCCCTAGAGTCAGACACAACTGGACAGGGGAAACCTTTAACTTTTAATGATGTAATTACAGACAGTAAATAGCACTATTCCTTTCAAACAATCAGAGTCTCCTAAACACACTGAAATCTCTTGGCTTCTGATACCAATCGCAGCACTGTAAAAGTTACCAAAATTTTAGAAACGTCATGGAGATGTTTGCTCTTAAAAAGTGCATCTTGGACTCAGAACCTATCCCAACAAGAAGATGATACATTAGAACTGACTAACATAAATAAATTATATATTTGTTGGAACAGAGCTGTGCACCGTAGAAGTCAAGTGGAATTATATTAACTTGAGGAGGGTGGGTACCTGTCAGTCAATCTTGACCCCCAGCATTTTTAGAACAAACTTTTAGAAGTGGTTTGCCATTCCCTTCTTCCTAGAGATGAGAATGTTCATCCCAAAGTCATTCAGTCAACTTTGAGCTTAAGATAGGACTGGAACAGTTTCCCAAATCCCTAGCCTGGTGCCTTAACCACTACCCTAAACTAGATCTCATATGTAGTTTAAGAAACATAGTTATATTTAACCTGTATATTTCCAGATAAGTAATAGTTTAAATGGGATTTTCATGAAGTCCCAATTACACCTCATACAATGTACATACATACATTTCTGCTTGTACACAATTCCACAGTCAATCTTGAATCAGGTAGTGCCAAAATCAAATAAATAATTTACAGTATGACATGGATGAATGACATGCAATGAATGCAAAAAAGTACTAGTTTTCTATTTTGTTTGATTTTAGGAAGTTATTATAGCTTGTGGTGTATGTGTAGTAATTGCTCTAGCACATGCAAGCAGTAAAACAATTTATTATTGCAAATTCATCATATTTAAATATCATAAAACTGGGTAATTTTCTGCTAGTTTTTACTATAATTAGCAAATTTCTCCACCTTTTAACAGTCTAGCTTTCCTGAGAGGCTAAGGGCAAAAAAATGAGTTTACCCAAATGAAGTAAATTTTCTATCACAAGAAAATCTGCTTTTACTGTTTCAGCCATCATAGTGGCTTTCTGCTTTCAACTTACAACACGCAGACAGGGTTGAGTCGAAGCTGGTTCCTCCCCATCCAAACCTTACAGCCTTTAGGCACATGGCCAGCATCCCAACAGCATTGCCTGTCTGACTAGGGGTGTAGATTTATAATTCGGTATCATCAGCATGCTGATGATACTGTACCCTATACCAATAGATGACTCACCCTGTAGTTTCATATGGATGTTGAAAAAGAGAGGTGAAAAGCTCGAGCCCTGAGGTAATCCACATTTCAGAAGCTAGGGGCTCAACTTCTTCATTGCTATCAACACTGACTGCAACCCAACACAGAGGAAGTAGAACCACTGCAATACAATACAGAGGAAGAAGAACCACTACACTACCAATTCTTGAGTGGGTCCAAAAGAATATCATGCCCCATAGTATTGAGAGCTGCTGAGAGCTTTAGGAGGACTAGAATGCTGTTTCAGTGTTGTCTTGTAGCCTGAAAAGGGTCTTGATAACCCTCTTTATCCAGGTTCCCTGTAGCTGTGTGCCAACCATTCTCACAACAACCTTCACTAAAAAGGGAAGATTGGAGGATGGACAAAGGTTGTGTAAAAATTTGGGGTCCAAGGATGGCCTCTTGAGAAAGGGTGAGCCACCACCTCCTTCAGAGCAGGCAGTTCCGCCTCCTCCATAAAGAGGTATTAATCACTGATTGGACTCAACCATATGTCACCTCCTGAAGACCTTGACCAACCAGGAGGGGCATTGGTCCATAACAAAGGTGGCTAAGGTCTAAGGGCCCTGTCCATTTCTTTGAGAACAACTGGCTCAAACTCTTTCCAGATAACAAGGCTCAGGGGCTCTGTCCAGCCAGAGTCCAGTTCGAGTGTAGTTGAATTATTTTATCTGACAGATAGTGCAAATATTCCTCACAACAACCCAGCTAGGGCTTCCTCAGCTCCTCCTTATCCAGAAGGAACATGGTTACCAATACTGGGAAACTGGTCTGCTACTTGCAGATGCAATGAGGTCAGAGAAGTAATTACGCTTCACCGCCCTTATCAACACAAGGTTAAGTCTTAGTATAGGCTCTTATCTATGCTCAGTCACCCTCTCTCTTTGTCTTTCTCCAGTGACACTCTTATGTCACTCCATCTCTCTGAGCTGCTTAGTAAACCATGAAGCTCTAGGAGATCCATGCACAAAGACTCCACATAGATGTTATATGATCCACATCTCCATATTGAACAAGAGCCTCTGCAGAACCATGTAACAGAGTTTCAGGGGGAAACCCAAGCTGCTTCTGAATCATCCAGGGTTTATCAGGTGCCATAGTGGTTAGAATGCAGTACTGCAGGCTACTTCTGCTGACTGCCAGTTGCCTGCAGTTTGGCAGTTCAAATCTTACCAGACTCAAGGTTGACTCACCCTTGATCCTTCCGAGGTGGGTAAAATGTGGACTCAAATTGTTGGGGGCAATATGCTGACTCTGTAAGCCACTTAGAGAGGGCTGTAAAGCACTGTAAAGTGGTATATAAGTGCCATTGCTATTGCTGTTTCCTGGAATGAGCTGATCAAATAGGGTCCACCTCCCTACAGTGGTGGGAGAACTCTAGGGCTAAGAGGGCATGGTCACAGAATCCAAGACTGGATATGTCCCATTCATTTTATTTTATTTTACCCAGTAAGCACAGTGGAAGAATATACTGCTTGTTATGTAGTTTATTACTCTTCATCTTTATTGTTTATTACTTTTTATTCTTCATTTCTGTGCAGTACAATGAGAAGTGAAGGGATATAAAGTGACATTTTAATTCTCCCCCCCCAAGCCAATCATTTCTATACAAAAGATAAATGAGCAAAACTTCTCACACTTAAAAAATTAAAACAAAAATCCAGATATCATAAAAATTATTTTTAAAATATATATATATATAGCAGTTTGGCTCTCTGCACTAAATTGGCTAGTGTTGCCAGTAAGCTCTTTTTCAAAACACACACAATTCAAATTTCAGAAAAATCCCAAAACCAGAATACTAGCATGCATCTAAAGTAGCAGAATTGATAACCAAGAAGGAATAAACATGCTGAACATACTCTAACAAATTATTTGTACCGTGTTTCTCATATAATAAGGCCGGGTCTTTTTTTTTTTTTTTGAGCCCCGAAAAAATGGCTAGGCCGTCTTTTTTGGGGGTGACTTAATTCCCCCCCTTGCATCTTCGGGCGGGTGGGCGGTGATGGCTTGGATGTTGACCTCGGCGTTGGTGGGGCATGTCGTATCGGGGTCAACGCAGGCAGCACCATATCTGGGTGTGCAACAAAAGTACTTCCTAACGGCAAGCCCCCCACACCATTCCCCCCATTTCGCATGTTTTAATATAGGCCTTAATTTGGGGGGAGGGGCTTAATTTCATTTCATGCCTATAAAACATGCTGGGACTTCCTATTGGGGGAGGCCATATTGTTGGAGAAACAGGGTATATATTTGTAAGCTTTGACTTGCTGATCCTGCAAAAATGGTCTATTAAAGAACAATACTTATAATTAATTATACACATTCACTATAAATATGTAGTCAGACAATGATTGCCACATTATGCATTAAAAAATCATTAAGCATGAACCAACTAGTAAAACTGTCAGAAAGAAGCCACTTCTCTCTGCTGGTCAACAAGACACAGCCAGTTTCTTGCGCACCCAAATAAATGATACGATCACTGGCAGTGGTGGTATTCAAAAACTTTTACTACTGGTTCTGTGGGCGTGGCTTGGTGGGTGTGGTCATGTGACTGGGTGGGTGTGGATTTTTGTGCAGCCCTCACCCGTTTTTGGGAGCTTCTTAGCCACAGAGGAGCCTCTGGGGGGACGTTTTTGCTCCCCTAAGGATCCTCTGGGGCTCAGGAAGAAAAGGAACAAAGCATGGGAGGGGCATGCAGCACTCCTCCAAGCTCCACTTTGGGAGATTCCTAGCCGCAGAGAGGCCCCGGGGGGGGGGGGCGTTTTTGCTCCCCCAAGGCTCCTCTGGGGCTCTGGAAGGCAAAAAAGGGAGGAGGAGGCTGAGCTCCTCCCTCCATTTTTTGCCTTCCTGGGCCTCAGCAAGGGGAATCCTGACATAGCTGATCTTATCTACAGCTGATTATTGGGATGGAAAAAAAGAGAGAAATACCTTAGGCGAATGTCAGGCAGGCGGGCGGGGTGAGCGAGCATCGGGCAGGAGGGTGACCGGGTGGGGGGCGTGGCCAGCCAGAACTTACTACTGGTTTGGCAACCCATGCCAAATTCTTGCTACTGGTTCGCCTGATCCATTGCGAACAGGCTGAATACCACCACTGGTCACTGGGAAAGGAAGCTTTTTTGAATAGACATGGTTCTATTAAAGGAGCTGTAATAGCACTAGGAGCTATGGTGGCACAGTGGTTAGCCTGCAGTACTGCAGGTTAACTCACTGTTCACTGCCAAGAGTTCGATTCTGACTGGCTTAAAGTTGACTCAGCCTTCCATTCTTCCAAGGTTGGTAAAACGAGGATCCAGATTGTTGGGGGCAATATGCTGACTCTGTAAACCACTTAGAGAGGGCTATAAAACATTGTGAAGCAGTATATAAGTCTAAGTGCTATTGCTATAAGTGTCAGACATGTGAAACATCCTCCACAGAGAAGTGTAACTGGCATCTACCTTGTAAACTTTGCAGTATCAACTGGGGACTCTCTTACTGAAGACTCACAGGCTTTTAAAGTTTTCATTATGTTTTTGGTGCTGTTCTAATTTAATGGTTGAACACTAACATCTGTGATTTATTTTTATACCTCATGCTTTTAACTTCATTTCTGAATCAGGAAATAAACTTTTCGAAGAATAATTTGAAATAATAAACCTTTATAATGCATTTATAAAATCGTAAGTGGAAATTATTTTGTTTAAAATGTATTTAAACAAAAGACCCGTACAAGCATTAATAACCTGTATGAAATAACAGAAACACATTGTTAAAAAGTTTACTTTTCCTTTACAATAATAGCTCTCCAGCTATATTCCTGAGATTGAGGGCAAGCATATATTATTATAAATATCTGAGTCACTGAGGATTTTCTATCACTTGGCAACAAGCATTAAGGCCAGTCACTGCCAAAATTACCATAATCCAATTTCACAGCAGTGAAAAGAACATGTGAACCTTACTGTGTTCTTACTGGAATTAATTGTTCTTCAGATGAAATATGTATGGAATTTTTAAAAAAAATCCAAGCAACTTCCTTAAATACATACTAGCAGAAAAATTGTGAATTCAGTAAACTATTCTTCATTAACAAATGTATTTAAAGTGTAATGTTCATGATTCCTATATTATAATTTAGAATTAATATTGTGCAACATTAACTTCGTAATTAAAAGTGCAAGCAATTGATCTATCATCATGGGCATTATTTGGGACAGGCTTTGCTTAGAAATAGAGTGCCTAGTAGTAGTTGTTTTTCCACTGCCAAAGACAGACTGACTCAGCCAATTTTTTTGGGTATATTCTTATTTAAAAAATGGCTGAAGTGGCTAATCTTTGCAGAGCTCTATTTTCAGTAGGGTGAAAAATGGCAATATACAGGCTTATTTTAAAATGTGGTTATGTTAGCAATCTTTAAAAATAACGGGGCTTAATAGAAAACCTGAAATGTGTACTAGACAAAAGAGTTAATATCTTGGGCTGCATCCAAAAGTAACCAGCTGGTGAAAGCTATATTTCTATCATACTTTTGAAGAGATTCTCTTTTTCTCTAGAGAATTTGCTATAAAAGATTAGAGGGTCATCCAGAGCTGATAGGATGCAATGCAGTGGTGAATTGTGGGTGGAGGGGAAGAGAAATAAGAGGTCCTACTACATAAATAGAAATATACCTTTCACCATGACCCTTAAAGATGATGTCCAAAATAAATGAAATCTGACAAAACATTAATAGCATTTTAAATGAAAAAAAAAAGGATTTATTTGATAAAATGTTATACAAGTATGTGATATAGTATTCTATGTTTGAGATCTAGGAACTTGTACTATAAATCTTCACAGACAACAATATTTGAGACATACTCCTTGATCATGCCTATCCTCATCTGGGACAGCTTCCATTTCTTTTTCTTCTTTACTTGTTTTTCATCCCATCTTTATTATTTTTTTTATAAATAACATACCTAGTACTCTGTTCTCTTCCTTACAACAATCCTCAATTTTATTGCTTCCAGTTACTTGAATTGCTAAGGGTGTTGTTCAGTTCCCAAATTATAATAATTTATTACTCTGTCTACTGTACAATGCAGACGTTCCATCTGAAAGGGAAGCATTTGTTTCATAGATTTCTGAATATTTAACAATTCTATTCAAATTTATTTAGATGTCATTGTTTCCAATAAGCTTTACTTTCAAAGAACATGTAAACATTGCAACCTTGTTCTCCAAGCACATAGTTTACTTGTTTACTTGCTACATGTGTACAAACTAAAGTGAAAAAAGTTTATATACAGTACTATATCTCAAGACCACCGCTGAAAGAAAAAAAAATATTCCCCAAAAGATCTGTACAGCTGAAAAGACATATGGATCTACATAACCAAAAGTTTGAAGTAAGTTTCTAGAAAATCTCTTACTTTACGCAAAGCCCAATATGCTTTCCTTGTAAATTCAGAGTTTATCTTTCTACATTTTACTGAATGCTCGCCCAAGATAATTATTCCTCTACATCATTTAGCAACCCAAGAGAGGTATCACTGCAATGCTGGCATACACTTACAGTTTGTGGCATTGGCCAGCATCCAAAACCACATTTAACAACTTTTACAGTAGAAAGAGGTTTGGAGCTTGTTTTCTTGAGCAGCAATCTATGCATTCTTCATGGTAAACTCATTCTGAAACCTCAGGACACCCAAAAATACTTCAAATATTTGCTGTTCACAAAACAAAGTCTCAAAAGCTTACAGGCCATGTGTTCAGTTTTCAGATCTGCCTACTCATGTATTTCAATTATGACCACCATAGGTGAATCCTTTGCAGTATATTCCGTCATATACAAGTGGTTAGTTACTGCGTTATGAACAATGACTAAACATTAAAATGCCCTTGAAGTTGAGGTTTAAATTGTAATATCTATGCAATAATCTCCCAAATAAACTCTCTAAAAAGCAAATTGACACAAGTATTAAAATTAATCTGCAAATTAATATTATGAAAAATGTATAAAGACAAATATTCAGAGATTATACAAACCGAAAGACCAAACATCCAATGCATTTTATTTCAATATATACTGCTAAAATCAATATAACCAAGAAAACAAATCAGCTAAATGCAAATATAAATGCCCAAACAATGTTAAGAAATCAGAAAGATCTCAGTTTCTATTTCTGAAGTCTGGTTTATCACTGAGAGTATAGGCTAAAATGTACAGGTATCTTAATCCAGGTATCACATGCACCAACTTAAGAAAAACAAGTACCTTAACTCTGGAAATTATATTTGAAAATGAACATTTGAAATTAGATATCTGACAAAATTCTGCTCCCTTTTTATGAAACATGTTTATACATTTACTCTCTGATGCCTAATAATTTGATGCATTTTTCTTTCAAGTGATTAAAAACCAATCAAACTCCAGGGTATCGGTCATTAAAATGAATATACAAAGTTTTCCAATGACGCCAGGCGGAAAATATTGGAGTCTCTGCTATCATAAAGATGGAATTACTACTTTTACACCAAATGGCTCTTACTTGCTGTTATGTATGTGAACTGTAAGTCTAATAACTAGAACTCATTTTTAGACACAGTACTGTATACAATGCATCAATTCATTTCTTCTTAAAATTAAATTTACCCAAAGTAAAGAAAGAATTAATCTAATAGACACTCTCCTGGAGGCTTCTCACCTGTAAAACAATGTGTTGTCTAGAGCAGGGGTGTCCAACCTTGGCAACTTTAAGACTTGTGGACTTCAACTCCCAGAATTCCTCAGACAGTCACAGCTCTTAAAGTTGCCAGGGATGGACACAGCGAGGTCTAGAGTTTTACATGTCTATAATGGTACAACTTGTGTTAATATTTAAAAAAACAAAATTAAAAATAAGACAATTAAGACAAATATGCAAAAAGTAATATGGCATCGAATGGCTAATTGCAGATAGTCCTCAACTTAGGACCGCAATGCACACCAGAATTTCTGATGTTAAAACAAGGCAGTTGATAAATGAGTTGCAGCCAGGTTGATGACCTTTTCTGCCACAGTTGTTAAGTTAATCATGCGGTCATTAAGGAAATCCAGCTTCCCCCATTGACTTGGCTTGCCAGAAGCGTGCTGGGCAAGTTGCAAAGGATGATCCCATGAGCCCAGGACATTGCAACTATTGTAAATACATGCTGGTTGCCAAGCACTCAAATCTTGATCACATGACCATGGGGGTGCTGTTTTAATTGTGTGAAGATTGGTTGTTAAGTCATGTTGCATTGTAACTTTGAACAGCCACCAAACAAATGGTTGTAAGTTGAGGACTACCTGTAGGCCTTACTGCCAATAGACAGAAAGACCAGTTTCCCTAAACTGGGATAACATTTTTCATCCCCACCAAAACAATTAACCATATTTTCCTACCTCTATCAAAAAGTCTCCTGTTCTCAAGCCAGCTTGCCATGCTACCCCTCCTTCATCAACTGATTCCAGGTACTGCAAGGCAGGGAAGGCTGGCGTTGGTGTGAATTCCTCAATTGGTGTATCAGCTTTAGGAATAATAAATGACATATCTGAATAAACTTTTAAAACATGAAATGTTGTTTCATAAAATATTGCCTGTTACAAGGCCAGAAAGCCTTTAAATAAAACACTCCATTTCTATCTATCTATCTATCTATCTATCTATCTATCTATCTATCTATCTTCCTATTTTCTTGCATATTAATAAACTCTTGGGTTTAATCAGCAAACGAATAAAGCTCTGGATTTAACTTCTAATAAATATAAAGCCATGAATTTTGATAACATTCAGATTACATCTGAAGATAGTGTTTTTAATACTCATAGAAGTGCATCAAGAAAAACCAGGTAATTACATAGTTAGCACTCAGTATGGTGTAAAGCCATTAAATTCAACAGAAAGATCCTATAATTGTGCATTAGACACATATTCTGTATAAGTTTCACATACGTGCTTTATGTTTGTCATATACAGTTTTGATTAAGATAAACCACACAGTTTAAAGTGTGTGTTTTCAAAGGGTATTTGAATTTTTAACCTAAAGAACTCACTCCATGTGAAATTAAGATGTATAGTGAGGGAGCTCTGTTTGCTGCATAGACAGCTCAGCGCCAGCTGATCGACACAGTGATGAAGTCACTGGGTTTCCAGATGACCCCACCAAAACGTATGTTTAGCCAGGAGAGTTAATCTGTTACATAGCTAGGGGAACCCAATAGGTATTTGCCACACTCTAGTGAGGAAAGTGGCATTCCTAGACAAGGGTGTGGAGATTCCTCCATAAAGTACATATGGTATAGCCTTTCCTTGAAGACAGCAGTCTAAGGAACAGCCCATTTATTAATTGGGGGGAGGAGGTTAATAACAGACACTGGGATATACCACCACGTATAAAATTTGCCAAAAGAGTAAAACAGATCACAGATCATTAAATTTGTTGTATAAATCTACGGAAACAGATTTTGCATAGGAAAGAAATGGCATATTTAGACACAAGCAGTTTTCAAACAGTATACATAGTAAAAGGCCATCTGACATGCCTGCAGCTTATGAAAATACAAAAATGACCTGATTTTCTTCCTAAAGCTGCAGTAGTTTTACTTTGAATAAGCTGAAAAACCATTTCAAGGAAAAAAGTCAACATGCCCCTTCAACTAACACATTATTTTAGTAAAATAACTCTTTACATGGAGCATTTTGATTATCTTCCCCCAGCAGGGATGGTTTCAGGCATGCAAAATATTTAGGCAACTTCTCCTCTGAATTATTCCACAAATCAATTATTTCTTTCACACAAACACAAACACACACACACACACACATTCTCTCAAAACTGCTCGATCAGAAACCAGTAAATCCATATCAGTACTCTACTGCACAGAAAGAACACTGTTGTCTAGCAACCAAAGGCATAAGGAATAATGCCTGTTTATTTTCAGAAATGCATGCCATTTTTCACACAAGCACTTCCCCAATCACACAGATACAAACAAAAAAAAAGAAAGAAATCCACCTACCTTTGGCCCCTCTGAGCACAAACCCAAATCCTTCATTGTCTTTTTTCTGCAGGACCACTGCCTTTTCTTCTATAATGCAGTCACTGTAGAGAGAATTCCGAGGATAGCGACCGTTATTATATCCCTTCATCACCACGGTAGTAGCTGCTCCTCCAGTGTGCAGGTTCATCATCCTCACAGCCCGTTAATCAAATAATAGTGCAGTAACCAAACATGGGGAAAATGTCATAGCAAACAACAGAAGAAGGAAAGAGACAGAAACAAAGCTTAATAGCAAAGGAGAACATGACAGTGCAACTTAACAGAGGGAACAATGCAGGGAAGGCTGAGGAAGAAACCATGCATGGTGGTGGCTGAACAAATGTGCGATCATGTCACTTGTGTGCTAGCTAGGAGCCTAACAGAAAAGAAAGTGAACTGAACAACAGTAGCATTAATAAACTCCTCAATCGTAGATGTACCAGAGGCATCTTCTAGTGAAGCCAAAATGAAACCAACCAGAAGAAAAATGAGGCAGCATTTTAAAATTTAAAGGGAGCTTGATTTGCTGTAGTGAGGAACTAAAAGGCACGAATATATTCAGAAGCTATGCCTTGCATCAAAAGCCCTTTTCAATCCTATTGAATGTTGCATACTGCAAGAATCCCACATGATCATCTGACAGCCTACAATGCTAACAACGTGCAGCTGCCTTGGCGTCATCAAGCACTAATTTTCACAGCATCAAGATCTGCATAATTTAAATAGTAACAAGGCATGTATGTTCATGATCACCTTTTTCTATCAAAAATTACAGTGCCTTCCTGAACACCAGCGTAGTGAAATACTAAAGAGTGTGCTCAAAAAAGCAAGGCTTAAAAAGAAGAAGGGTTAAAAATTCACTGACATTTCACTTAGGTGATATTTAAAAAAAATCTTTAAGAAATTGAATTATTCAAAGAATAAATATATATTCTAAGCTAAAATATTAAACTGTAGTATTTATTGTGCCTTAATGTACCTTCATTAAACAGTATATATAATGTATATACCTTAATTAAATACATGATTTAAATTATGCTTCTGTATTTAACTAGGAAACATTTTTGAAACAAAAATTATTTCTTTGCTTTTAGTTTTAGAAAAGCATTTTCATATATTAGGCAATGTCCATTAAAAATAAATAATAATGAAGTAATATGGTGGTGAAATGGTATAACTACTGCTCTGGCAATGAAAAATAATATAAAAGGAAATTTTGGAAATGGTCCTGTAGAATCAAAGAACCAATTTCTAAGGATAATACCATGTGTCCATATACCTGGTACATCTAATGATTTAATTTGGTTTGTATCTTAAACTAAGGATTTAGGCAACTTGCACAGAAAATTATGAATTCACATTTGAAATGCAGAAAAGTATAACAAAGAGGTCCATCAACTTTCTACCAATAGATACAAAACAGCCAGCATTCTCTGAGGAAACTCCTTCTAGGAAACAATTATGGCAACTAGCCAGTCAGGTTGGCTTCTTGGCTAATCAACTGGCCAGTTTTCACTCTTTCTTATTTCTAAATGATTGCAGAAAAATATAATTTACAATTTAAGTCTTCTATCAAGAAATTCTATCTGAAGGGGTAAGAGAGAGATGCAAGAGTTTAATTATTCTTTACAAGCGTATCTTTATTAACAATAAGAGTGATTCTTTTCAGACTTATCTAATCTAAGAGACCATGGAATATTGGAAGAGGATATAGGATTAAGGTAGCTAACATCAGATTCATCTCATTCCCCCTAGCTTCTCCTTCATTTCCCCATCTACTCTGAAAGTCTTTTTTCAGTGAAGATGTAACTTCAAATGGTCACTAAACAAACTCTTGTAAGTTGAGAACTACCTACAATTTCTGCCACATGTTAAATTTTTTAGTGGGGAGAATCTGGCATAGGGAATATATGACTTAAGGCTCACATAACTTTAGCTTTGAAACACACTATGACAGTGATGGCTAACCTTTTTGTCGTTATGTGCCGAAAGTGCACAAATGCCTGCGTGTGCACATGCACGCATGCCTGCACTTACAATGCAATGCACGCACGATCCCCCCAGCGCAACCCCTGCTCCCCTGTGCATGCGCACAGGACCCCCATGCTTCCCCCCGCCTCCCATGCAAGCGGATACCTAAAAATCAGCTGGTTGGAGAGAGGCGCGTGCACATTCACAGTGGAACTGAGCTGGGGCAACAGCTTGCATGCCCGCAGAGGTGGCTCTGCGTGCCACTTCTGGCACGTGTGCCATAAGTTCACCATCACCGCACTATGAGGTAGGAATTGGAAGAACCACTGTCTGACAACTTTCTTGGCACAACAAAATCTCCAGATGTATGCATATGTCTGATTGTCAGAACATACTTCAAATCTAAATATTTCCCTTTCAGCCCTCCTCTTAACATTTGGATCCCAATATTCATTGGTTTAAAAAGCTGGGGGCAAATTATCTCTGACTTCGCATAAAGGAAAAATAGTTGATGGCTTTAAAAAAAAATAGTTACAGGTCTGTTTTTAAAGATTTTGTGACGAGGAAAAGTGCCTGCATTCCTTTATTGTTTACTAAGGTCAGTGTCCAGTTAATATAAAAAGAAAAGTACAGGAAGTCCTTGACTTACAACTTGTTCATTTAATTACCTTGAAGAGTTACAATGGTATTGAAAAAAGTGACTTATGTGTTGTTTTTCACACTTATGACTGTTGCAGCATTTCCATGATGATCAAAATTCAGAAGCTTGGCAAGTGACTCATATTTATGACAGTTATTGAGTCCTGGGATCATGTGATCACCTTTTGTGACTTTCCAATAAGCAAAGTCAATGTTGAAACCAGATTCACTTAACTGCTTGACTAAGGTAACAACTGCAGTGAATCACTTAACAAATCGGGCAAACAAAACTATTACTCACTTTTTTTAGTTCAGATTCTGTTATTTCTAAATAATAGAAGTTAAGAATGGAGTGTGGTTCCTAAATCAGGGGTCTCCAACTTTAAGACTTGTGGATTTCAATTCCCAGAATTCTGGGAGTTGAAGTCTACAAGTCTTAAAGTTGCCATGGTTAGAGACCCCTGTGCTAAATCAGTAACATAGTTTGTAAATACGGAGTAAGTAAATAAAATTGATAGTAAATACATGCAATTTCTGCAGTATAATAAGACTCAATGTCCTGTTTTGGTAAATGACAAACTACTTCAAATGATGTACAATAATTTCCTACTACTTTAAAATGAAGCTAGTACAATCATAAATTTATCTTTGTATATGCTGTACATCAGGGGTCCCCAACCACTAGTGGGCCATGAGGGGTTTGCAACTGGGCCATGAAAATGGCTGGTCAGTGGGCGCATAGGCATGTGCATCCTCATTTGTGCGACCAGCGAACAAGTGCACATGCACTCTATTTGCATGAGTGGCAGGCATGCATGCAAATTGCTCACGCAAATGGAGCTGCACGCATGTGTGCAAACCATCCCTCCTCTCCCCTGCCAGTCTGCAAAGCTGGAAATGTTAGGGAACTTTGCTATACACCTTAGTAAATATTTAATAAAGGTGGATTACTATCACCTTGTAGTTCAAAGTACAATTTAGGAATTGGAATTTTAATTCATGTGATCTGGTCTTGTCTGATTATTGTAACATTTGATGAGAACAGAATTATTAATATGACCTTGTATCAACTACTGTATTGTAAAGATGCTACTGCTGCATTATTACTTGGAATTTATATCTGTTAAGAAGTACTGTCATGCCCCTGTTGGAGACTGACTCTGAGGAAGAGGAGGAACAGCTGACAGGGATTGGAAGTGTGGCTCTGGAGGTTGTGGAGGAGGATGGGGAAGGGCAGAGGCCGGCTGGGCAGTCAGAGGAAGACCCAGGCCCATCCCCTCTTCATCCTAGGGCAGGCAGGGAAGAATCGAGAAGGAAAAAATGTGGCTTATGGGAAAGGAAGCGGCCATAATTCCCCTCATTGGCTGCAGCTGGGGGGGAATAGTATATAGGAGGGATGTTTAAAACACAGCATTGCTAGAAGCAAAGCATGTTTTATTTCTGGCTGAGGGTTATCTTAGTTGGCGTTCTTCCAATGGACTGTGCCTTGTTATCTTCTTGAAGTTTGTAATTAATTATCCTGGTCTGTCGTGAAAATTCCTTCAGTGCTGTTTGTTTTGGTTTTTTATTTCTCTGTTATCTGTTCTTTGAGTTTGGACTGTAATTCTTTCTTTTGGAGACTATTTTGGAAAGAATTTAATTTCCAAATGAGAACAATTGAACAGTAGGGCCAAGTTGGAAACATTAAAGGAAATTTATTTACGTTTGGGAATTTATTACATGTGTGCTGCTTCCTGGGTCATCATAAGTATGGACTATTGACTAAAAGAATGACTACACAGCTACAGAAGGAAAATATATATTTGATTTGAAAATATGTATTATTGATATATAATGCTTATCACTATCTATCAAATACAGGTAATCCTCAATGTATGACCACAATTGAGCCCAAAAGTTATGTTGCTCAGTGAGAAATTTGTTATGTGAGTTTTGCTCCATTTTACGACTGTTCTTGCCACTTTGTTGACTTTGTTAAGTTGTTAAATTAGTAACAGTGAATCTGGTTTCCCATTGATTTTCCTTGTCAGAAATTTGTGAAAGGGGACCACGTGACCCTGGAACACTGCAACTGTCATAAATGTGAGACAGTTGTCAAGAATCTGAATGTAGATCACGTGAACATGGAGATGTTGCAGTGGTCATAAGTGTGAAAAATTGTCATGTCACTTTTTTCAGTGCTGATGTAACTTCGAACGGCGACTAAGCAAACTTTGTTGTAAGTTGAGGACTACCTGTACATATCAATAGTTGATTTCTGGTTATTTAGGTAATAGAATAAGGAAAAAAAGAATTTTGAGCAATCTAATCAAAATTTGGGAAATTAGAATTAGAATTCTTTTATTAGCCAAGTATTCTGTTTATAATTTAATTTTCCAGGCCTGACTTTTTCTCTGTTTGCCTTATTATTATTATTATTATTATTATTATTATTATTATTATTATTATT